ACAGCTGGCCTCGTGGGACGGGAAAATATTTACACTTTTAGTAAATGCCTGCTAAGGAGTTGGGTACGTATAGAGTTCTTCTACCAAGCCATTCATAATCAAACTGTGTAAGCAAGCCGAAGAACAAGGGACTTCCTGTTCTTTGTGGTGTAAGCTGGTGTGTGCTGGATGTCTGCCTCTTGGAGCCCAAAGCACCGGATTGCGCCAGGACGGCCATCTTGGCATGGCTTCCTTCATCTCCTGGTGCACCTGTCGCCTTGGCAGGGAGGAGTAGTTACAAGGATGTTGCTGTTGCCAGCTTCTCTGGTTTCCTTCAGACGTTTTCCTTCTGGCCTTTGATGACCTTGTGTTCTTCCTGTTGTATCATTCAGTTATGCCCTGCCTTTTCTTCTCTGAGCAGCAGTGTGTGGGGGAGCAAGTTGCATCTCAGAGTAACCCAGGACAGGGTTCAGAGGGAGCAACATGCAGCTGAAGTTCACAAACACTCCCTGCCCTCAGGGACAGGATCAATAGCATTGCCACCAGCTCAGTGTCCAGCACCCACAGCCTAGATTGCTGTGACAGCCTTCCTACTGACTTTCTGTATCCTCCTCTGCCCTCCTTTGTTACCTTGTCTTCAAGCAAGCAGGTCAATCCTTTGAAACGGTAGTCACTCCCTGTCACTATCCCAGAGCATAACCTGGCCCCTGGTTGGCTCCAGCCTCTCCTCTCCCAGCTCCCCATCTTCACCCTGCTTCTTCCCAACTCATTCTCTGTCTTATCCTTGTACGATTACTATTATTATTGCTATTAATGTGTGTGCATGTGTGTGTAGTGCATGTGTGTTCATGTTTGCATGCATGCACATGTGCATGTGTCCTCCAGGGCTCTGCTAGGCAAGTGCTCTACCACTGAGCTACATTCCCCAGCTCTGAATGGATTTACAATAACTTGAATGGTACTCTCTTGTCTCTCAGTCAAGAGAGAACAGATATATAGTGGCATATTATTTGTGTTTTAATAAAGGAAGCTTGCCTGAAGATCAGAGTGCAAAGTTAGCCACCCTAGTCAGTCATACAGGCCAGGCAGTGGTTGCACACTATACAGAAATCCCAGAGTCTGAGAGCTTGCGATTCTGCCCCTGCATTTACCAATAAGGGAGGTTTTTGGGGAACTTCCCAATAGTTCTCAAATTGGCCTAAATATTCTTCTTCCGCAGTCCCTGAGCGCCTAAGCATCGAAAATCATATGCTAATGAAATCGGCTCTTCGTCTGTCAACTCTGGCTACTGAAACTCAAGTATTTAATTAAGGTGAAGTTAAATCCAATATTGTGTTCTTCGGTTTCCCTTGGCCCGCATTTCTAGTATCAGCAGGCATATGTGTGTGGAATCTACAGACGCACAGATTGTAGATCATCTCCACAGTCAGAGAGAGTTCCGTCACATTACACAGCTTTGTCTGTCTGGGACAATGACGGTGCCAGGCAGGAAGTACACAAACCAAGCAGCCCTCGTTCTTAGATGATTGCTCCCATCCCTCCTCTTCTTCCACCATCACCGTTCCAACAAATCTTCATTCCTCGAGCAGCTAAAGCCTATTGTCTCGGCCTGCACAGCTGAGTCGCAGATCTCACGGATCTCACATAGGGAGCGTTGCTGGCTGCGAGGAATGCTTACCAAAAGGCATTTTAAAAAGTCATTCACCATCCAATAAAGCATTGAGCTTGAGCTTTAAAATTGGGTTGTATCTGAGCCCCATGGCACGGGGAAGCTAAGGCTGGAGGCACGTGTACGAGTTGTCTTTCTGCTACTGTGAAAATACTTACCAAAAACAACTTGGAAAGAGAAGGGCATTTTTATGACAATGAGCCCTGTCTGCTCCTGGCAGCACTGATCTGCTCCAGAGAAGATGATGGGCATCAAAGAAACTCTATACGGACTTTACTTTCTTTGTGGCAAAAGTCAGCCATTGGGCAAGAAACTACCCTTACCTTGCCCGCTGACAGTATGCTGTCCAAATTGGACATTTTCTTATTTTGAAGTTCTGTCTTAGTTAGGGTTTTTATTGCCGTGAAGAGACACCATGACCATGGCAACTCTTATAATTGGGTGGTGGCTTATAGTTTCAGAGGTTAAGTCCATTCTCATCAAGGTGTGGAGCATGGTGGTATGCAGGCAGACATGGTACTGGAGGGGTGGCTGAGAGTCCTACATCTTGCAGGCAACAGGAAGCTGAGTGAGACCCTGGGTGGTATCCCGAGCATAGGAAACCTTAGGCTGCATTTGTTTAAATCTGTGAAACTGTGAATTTCTTTTTGCCTGTCTTAAATACCTGATGGTCTAATAAGGAGCCGAACGGCTTTAGCGAGGCAGGAGAAAGAATGGGGGGGGGGCCTGGCCGACAGAAAGTATAAATAGGAGAGAAGAAGAAGAAGAAGAAGAAGAAGAAGAGGAGGAGGAGGAGGAGGAGGAGGAAGAAGAGGAGGAGGAGGAGGAAGAGGAGGAGGAGGAGGAGGAGGAGGAGGAGGAAGAAGCAGCAGCAGCAAGAGAACAAGGAGAGGAGTACGTAGGGATCACTCACCCAGCCACGGAGTAAGAGTGTAAGTAACATAAACGGAAGAAAAGGGAAAAGCCCAGGGGCAAAAGGTAGTTAGGATAATTTAAGTTAAGAAAAGTTGGCAAGAAGCAAGCCACGCTAAAGTCGGGTGTTTATAGGAAAGAAAAAGATACAGTGTGTGATTTATTTGGTATCTATGTGGCAGACCCCCCCCCAAAAAAAAGCTGAAAGAGTAAAGAGTAAAATACAACCAAAAACATTTTGGCATTCCAACACGGGGCTAGACTAAATAGATAAATAATAAATAACAACTACAGTTAATTACATTCAGACTCCCACAAGTTCCCTCTTTAAAGATAACTCTAGTTTCTATCTAGCTGGCAAAAAAAAAAAAAAAAAAAAAAAAATTAACCAGCCCAAAACTCAAATTCAAAGTTAGTCTGGGCTCCAGAATGAATTCTAGGTCAGCATAGACAATTTGACACCCTGTCTTAAAATAGAAAACTACAAAAGAGGGCCAGGTACACAGGTCAGCTGTCCAACACCAGCCTAGCATACACGAGGCCTTGATTCCAGTCCTCACTACTGAAGAGAAAAATAAAAGAATAGGAAAACCATTTGCACAATTGTGTTGTAGCCTGTTACGTGAATCATGTGAAGCCCTGAAATCTTTCTCCAGTGTAGATTCGTTTCCTGGCCACCCAGACATGCAATAATCACACAGAAACTATATTAATTACAACACTGTTTGGCCAATATGCATATAATATAAGCATATTTAGCAAACTCTTACATATTAAGTTAACCCATTTCTATTCATCTGTGAATCTACCCGTAAGGTTCTGGCTGGTAGCTGGCATCTGTCTCCTTTGGCAGCTACATGGGTGTCTCTCTGACTCCACCTACTTTCTCTCTATATCTCTGTTCAGATTTCCCACCTGGCTTTATTCTACTATGCCATTGGCTGAAACAGCTTCTTTATTAACCAATGGTAATAAAACATATTCATAGCAGAGAGGGGAATCCCATATCGCTCCAGGAACCATTCGGAAAGATCTCATTAATCTCGAGTTTCTCAATGAAAAATTTCGGTCTTTTTTCCTTTACTTCATATGTACACATACCAAAATAATCCATATGTACATAAAATGTAGGACCCAGCAGCATATAGTTACGTTGTGTGTGTATTTGTATATATGACAGAAGCACAGACAGTCTCAAAGGAGAGTTAAGAGCATTCCATTCCCCTTGCACAGCCATCCAGGTACCAGGGCCAGACACTCAGTAATGGAATGCGGTCACAAATAGTTCAAGCACTCGGTTGGTGTCTAGGCTGCATGCTGCTTTCATGTTCCTGTGGAAACACAGTAGCGAAGAGACAAAGCTCTCTGCACAAGACACCCCACACGTGTGTTTATGTGTGTGTGTGTAGAGAAGCCGTGCAGTGAGTTCTTCTGGTTTCTATTTTCGATTTGCCAACTCAGTGAGTCACAGCTGAGCATGTCTTTGTTCAGTCAGACGCCCTCACGGCCCCAGGGTGATGGCTTCTCTGCTGTGCCCAGGAACTCTGGGAAGAACCACTGTGGAAAAGAGATTGAAGGATCGGGGCTCTTAACTTGTCACTCAAAAACCGGTAGAACTATTGGCGTTGTACAATTGTTGAGCCACCTCTGGACAACCGGCAACTGGCTTCCAAAGGCTTTATGCCACTCTGGGAACGGGTTCTTGTCATATTTATCACTGAAGAAACGAAGGCAAAAGCTGCATGAAATGAAAGAAAACCCCATCAAGGCAAACCCTAAAAGAATGGGGATCAGTAGTCTCCCAACCCGTATGAAGAACCGTAACATATCAAACGAAGGGACCTTTGGTAATCCCTTTCTTTCTATGGAAAGCGCCATTTGTTTTCATGTCTTTCTTAAATATGAACGAAGAGGAGACAGGAGAGCCGTCTTTTCTACCGTATTAATAGCCTGTCTCGAGTCAGGCATAGTAGCAGTGCTGTATTGTTGAATGGTAGCGTGAACGAGCATGCACCCATTGAGAACTAATGTGGGCTGTCTAAACACATAGCGAATCAATCCGGAGCTCTCCCCACCCCCGCCCCGACCAAGGTGCCTCCTTACCAATCAGGTTTCTTCCAGTTCTTTTGGATGTGTTTCATAACATCTTACACTGTCTCCACCACCACCACCATGTACGCCTCTGTGGCACAAACTGCAACACCTTGCATTGCTGCTCCATAACGTATATTGGGAAGCAGACTGTTATCTGGTGAGCCCCATTTCTCAAAGCTTCCCTTTCATCGCCAAGGCTTTACGTCTTATTTGAGAAGCTCTTGGGTCCCATTGGGTATTCCATTTGATTAGTAAGGGCCTATGTGTTTACTCACAAAAGCATTTAGAAAATAATTGCCCGGTGGGCCAGAGGCGAGCAGGAGAGGAATATCCTGGTTAGGGAAACTGAGGCAGACACCTCTTCCATCTCCTGCGGGCTTTCCTTGGCCTGGCCCACTTCAGACCCTGCTGGCCACAGCACTCTCTTCATCCAGCCTCTCCTTCCTTTGAGTAGGTATTGTCCAGGAAAGTGGGGAGAGATGGAGGAGGGGTTGAGAAAATCTCTGAGGCTGTTGGTGCTTTTAGTGTTTGCCAGGGTCAGGATCGGGCTGTGTCTCAATGGGAGTGGAGCTACACCTGGTGTGAAAATGACCTTGCACTGATTCAGTTCAGCCGAATCCAGATAAAACTGGTTTTGAAGATTTTAGAAAACCGATCAAGCATCCATGCATCTCCGAACTCGCTGACAACTTATGTCTACGTAAATTTTAAAGCCAAAGGAAAAATACAGAAAAACGAACCAATACGGGGAAAGAATTTAATTTTTGAATAGACTTTTTTTTTTTTTTAAGCACAGTTTTAGGTTCACAACAGTTTGAACAGAAGGTACGTGGTTGCTGTTTGAACATTCCGTGCCCTGTTTTCTAGTGTCCATATTAGTCAGCTTGCTTTTCTCCCCTCCGCTCCAGAACACAAGCCCCCTCGATTATTGGCTTGTTTTCCTGTCCCTTCTCTAGTACCTTAAGATGGATAAAGCACAAAAAAGAGAGCTGAGTCCAATGATGATTTTTTATTTTGTTTTTCCTCAAGAATTCTTTGTAACTTAGAACTCAGATTTCAGGGGTTCAGGATTTAGCTAGTAGTTTGTTCATGACTTCTGGCCTCTAGCAGCATTAGGAAAAAACTCACATAAAGGACCCCACCACCACCACCCCAAAGGGGGTAGGGACTAAAGCTTTTCAGAGGTGTAAAAAAGGAACTATGTGCATTCATGCAAAAAATTCTGATCTGCTCTTAGATGATGCTTTCGTTTGTTTTTGCCAAGGATGGCAGATAAAATGTGTAATTTCTAGAACAAAATGTTCTTTGAGGGCAAACAAAGTTATTACCACGAGGAAGCTAATGATTCGAAGCAGGTAATTTACAAATATTAGGTTCAAAGCTGGGTGTAATGGAGCATGCTTATAAACAGAGCACTCCAGAGGCTGAGGCAGAAGAAACAGAAACAAATACAAAATTAGATGCAATAATAAGATCTCTTCAAGTAACGTTTTAATTATTTTACTTGCTAAAATGGTTTCCTTCTCAGATATTTGCCCCAAGAAAGTCATGAACATAACCTCAGCAGTGGGGACTGTATGGTTTTGAACTGTAAGGCAAGGATGTGATACAAAGCTTTTGGGGGAGGCAGGTGTGCACGTGTATGTGTGTGTGTGTCTTTGTGTGTGTTTGTGTGTGTGTGTAAGACAACTGCCTTCTATTTAACAGCACACTCCAGACAAGCAGCAGTCATTAAGAAACTCTCCAATGGGACTTGTGAATAACAAGTTACCTAAACTAAAGCAACAAAAGATTTGTCTCCTGTATCCTTTCTCTTCCTGGCTTGGCTCCTGATGTGAGCCTCTGCCCTATGCCATGCACTTCAAGGTTCTCACCCTGCAACAGGCTGAAACCTGACTCATCTGTGTTGATGAAAATTGCTCCTGTGTGTCTGTGAGAGTTACATATCTGAGCTTTAAAAGAGTGTCAAAGCCAGTTGGTCACCCAGGTAGACTGAACTGTGCTGAATCATGCTCACCTGGCCCCAGGTAATTACATAGCACTTAGCAGGTTAATACAATGTGTGCAAAGCACACACTGTTTCATATGTCCTTGTCACATGCTTACCAGGAATTTAGAGATATTTTGGTTAATCTTTTTGCTGTGGCTTTTTTTTTATGGCAGTTGTGTGGTGGTGGTGATTTGGCAAGCCTTGAGACAAGAGGCTGCCATCTGCTTATTCCAACAAGTGATATAAATATGAACAGCGGGCTCATAGGGAAAACCTGGGTACCAACAGCATTTTCTCTTCAGTCTCTTGATCTGTATTAGGTTGTATATGATTATTTTTTATGTGTATGGCTGTGCGTGAGTGTGTATGTGTGTGTGTAGGTGCTTGAGGAGTCTAGAAGGGATCATTGCTCCCCTTAGAGCTAGTTACAAGTGTGTGTTGGCCAGCCAGTGTGGAGAGTCAAACTACCCGTGGTCCTCAGGATAGAGCAGCAAGGGCTCTTACCAGCCATGACTCCAGCTTTAGGTTGTCTATTTTAGAGAGTGACAGATACAAATTTATACAGATTATGAGGTAGGTTTGCTCAGAATGACTTGCCAACCAGTTTCAGGAGCTAACACCGAGTTTCCCTATGTAGACTGAGGTAGGTTCCTCCATTCTCTCAGTGGTTCAGTGAAACTGAACAATTGCTGTCCAGCCGAACAGGATCTCCCAGAGAGGTAAATGCCATGGACCAGGCTTTGATGTGGGATTCCCCTCTGTATGCTGTGAATACCATTGGTTAATAAAGAAGCTGTCTGGGGCCTGTGATGGGTACAGCAGAGCTAGGTGGAGAAAACTAAACTGAATGCTGGGAGAAAGGAGGAGGAGTCAGAAGAAGCCACGTAGCCTCCACTGGAGACAGACTCCTGATGGAACTTTACCCGGTAAGCCACAGCTGCTTGGCAATACACAGATGAATAGAGATGGGTTAGTTTAGGATATGAGTTAGCCAGAAATACGCTTAAGCTATTGGCCAAACAGTATTGCAAATAATATGGTTTCTATGTGATTATTTTAGGAGTGTGGGCGACCAGAACGAACAAGCAGCCTCCTGCTACAGGGTTTGAACTTAAGACCAGCCCATTAAGCTGTGCTGAAGTATAGCTGTGTCTTGCTTTAAAATATTGCCTGCTTTTGTTTTTCTTCTTTCTAGTCCTAAACAGAAATATTTTGACCTATATAAAAATTATTTATTGACATGAATACCAATTTATTTATTTATTTGGTTTTTCGGTACAGGATTTCTCTGTGTAGCTTTGATGCCTGTCCTGGAACTCTTTAGACCAGGCTGGCTTTGAACTCACAAAAATCGGCTTGCCTCTGCCTCCTGAATGCTGGGATTAAAGGCGTGAGCCACCATCGCCTGGCTCCATTTATTTATTTTTATGAAAACCACAAGTTATACCGATCTGCAGCTGGTAGAATACTGGTACTCTTTGTTTTGAGGGGAAGACAGTTTCTTTACATCCCGAAGCAAACTCACCAGAAGTTATGCTTTGCAAGCCTGACCACACAGAGTCCCTCCCAGCACTTATTTACAGTAACCCAGGTCGAAACTTGTGGCCAAGATAAGCGCTGCCAAAAAAAAAAAAAAAAACTCTCACGTAGAAGTAAAATACCTTATCTTTGGACACACTCGCGACGCCGAGAGAACTTGGGGGTAGGTGTGGCTTTCTGAAGCCAATCATTTGATTCTCGGGGCAAATCAGGACCTGTGTTTACGAGAAAAATGTAGGCACCCGGGGGATGACCCGATTGGTCGCTGAAGCGCATGGGACAGTCAGTTTGGGATGCTGTTGGCTCGCTTGACTCTGGGTGTGTAGACAGGGTGAAGGTGAGCATCCAGTCTTCACAGCATAGCAGCGAGCAGGCACTAAAAGTTTGTCCGCTCGGTTGGAGTTAACAGCTTCATCCCTGCAGGTGAACTAAAGGCACAGCCTTTGGGGGCGCCACCCGAGCCCAAGCCCGCCCCTAAGACCGCCAGGCCCCGCCTCCCAACGCTTTAGGCCCCGCCCCAGCCCAGGCGATCCCAGCCATTGGCTGCTCCAGTTCCGTGTACCCTCCTCTCCCCGCCCCCGGCAGGCCCGGACCGTACCATCAGTGAGCCGGGGGAGTCTGTCTTCTCCCGTCCAAACGGCTTTCAATCCAAGACGTCCTCGGCCTTCACTATGGAAACTTGATGAAATAAGATGTTTAACAGACACACTATGTGAGAGGTCAGACATCTCAGTTCGAACTGCCCCGGATCCCCGAGGCGCGGCGCCGTCGTCCCCCCTCCAGTCCCTTCACGGATGGTCTCGCCCAAGGAGTACCTCGGGACCCTTTAAATACCGCGTGGGGCTGAGGGAGAGGGCTCCAGAGTTGACGGCTGGTGAGTCTCTCCGTGTGTGTGTGTGGAGGGGACACGAGCCCCGCGACCCCGGCCACCCCGCCTTCCTTGATTGTCCGCGCGGGATCCGGGGGTGCGTACCCATCCCAGGGGAGGGGCCGTGGGATCTGCGGGGACCGCCTCTCCTCAGGGCAGCGGGAGGGCTCCGAAGTCGGGGCATTTGCCCCCCCCCGTCGGGATCTGAAGTGGGGGCGCAGTGGTGGCGGTGCCCAGGCTGCTCCGGGTCCGCTGGGCCGTGATGACAACCCTTTGGGTGCGTGCCAGCGACTTCGCCGGGGGCGCGAGACGCTCCGGGCACCCAGTGATGCCGTCCCCGCTGCCCCCGATCCCGGAGAGTGGGGCTGAACCGCGGTGGAGCCCAGCCGGGCCGGACCTCGGCCTGTGTTTGGGGCTTGTTGCCGGGTTTCTCGGTCGCTGGGCTCTGCCCTGACAGTCCCCTCCCCCAAGCGTTTGTTTTGACAGGAAACGTGGTGCTGCTGGAGGGAGGGGCGAGCGGGGAACGTGGGCGAGCGGGCGGGCCTCCGGAGACTTCCGTTGGACTTGACCGGCCTGGAGGCCAGCTCGGGTCACATCTGGGTCAGACCCTCGCTGTCTCGAGGGTGGCTTTGTGCTCAGGGTGGCACCACAAAACATAGCAGCGAGATGTGTTGGCACGTGGCTGACACAGTTCCGTGTTTACGTTAGTAAGGGAGGCAAAGCGTCCACTGAGCGAGCGATTTCGCAATGACAACGATGTTTTCTTTTAAAATGTGCGTGTTAGACTGGGAATGTAGTTTTCTGGTAGAGCATTTTCCTGGCATGTACAGGAATGTGGGTTCTGTACCCCCCCCCCAACCACAAGAAGCCCAAATCATGTGTTTTAATGCAAAAAGCTAGTCAACAAAGCAGTGTTTGTTAAACTACCAGACAAGCAGAGGAGTGGAAACTCTTAAGAGTGGTTTCCATGTGACCGAAGTGAAATATTACTCTTTCATCGTTGTTTTGGTACCATAACGTGAGGAAATCAGGCAACTTGTCCCTAGTGAGCGCTGAGCACTCAGGGTGTCCCTCTCTACCTGCCTGTTACTGATGAGGTTCTTAAGCTAGTTCCGGACTCCACCTCCAAACGGTGACCCCCTCCCCAGAGAGGCGCAAGACCACTCCCACAGGCTATTTACACTATCCCCCAGAGAACAAACTCACGGTTTTCTGGTCTTCCTTCCCCATCTCCTCGCAGAGCAGGAGACTTAGTATCCATTATCTTGGGCCTTTTCTAATTTGGTTTGATTTCGTCTGATTTGGATTATTGCATAGGCAGAGAGGCTTATTGGGCCGGAAAAACTTTTCACCTGGGCTAGGAGGCTCCGTGTCTACCTGACTTTTCTTCCTGTCTTTATGGTTCCCATACATTGCCCCACTTGAAGTGGTCCAGGCTGAAGACCCAGTCATCTGTACCAAGAGCTAAGATGAGGGCCCCTGGAGTGTGAAGGACCAGCCAGGAATGGGAGGAGAGCGTTTTCCAGGATGAAAAGTGCCCAGAAATCTTCCCTGATGCTGTAATGTTGCACATCAGAACTGCCTTTAGACTGCCTGGCTTGTTGACTTTTGTCTAGCTCTCTGTTGGCTCTGATTTGATGGGGAGCAGTATTCTTGCAGGGACTTTCCCTCAGTCCTATGGCTTCTGCTTTGCTCTGGGCTGGTGATATAAGGCAGCATTTGGTAGAAAATGCAAATTTGCTAACATCTGCAATGTTTTTTCCATCAGAGCTCACTCAGTCTTGCCCTTGCTCCCTCCAACATCCCCCCCCCCCATCCTTTAGGTGACTTGTGCCTCATTTTGGTATGGTCTTGAAGGAGGGTACCCACTAAATGTCTCTCCACATGGCTTTTTTCTACAACCTAGCCTTAATTGCATGGGCTTCATTCTTCAGGGCCCTTCCCTGTTGGATAACCCGAACAATTTACTTCAAGATGTTTTTGACTTGGCTCGTTGTAGGCAGTTAGCCCTTTGGGTAATACCTGGTGTTTCTCAAGGGGTTTTGCAGTGCATAAGGAATGGTGCTCTAATCAAGGGGTTTTGTCACTGTAGTGGGGTTTTGATCACTATAGTGGGGTTTTATCACTGTAGTGGGGTGGTTGAGTCATCTCTTGCAGTGATGTCCTTCATGGCACCGTGCTTGAACAGCCACCCCAGGGTAAGGTCATCTTGCTTCCACATGTGCAAGTGTCCGTGTGATGATAGACAGATCGATTTGGCAGGCAGGGAGTGGAAAGAATGAGCAGTACCCTGATTTCCTCCAGCTGCCCTGGAGCGGTAGGCTCCGGGGTTCCAGCCTGCTGCTGGCTGAGCCGAGCCTCTGCATTGCCGTAAACCTCTGGGCTGTCTCTCCGACCCGTAAGTTCTCATTTTAAACAAGAATAACACCTGCCCAACACAGTTATGATGCAGATTTGAGGAAATCAACTAGAATATTATTGAGATCATAAGCTTCCATAAGTGTTGGTTCTAATTGTTACGTTTTAGTATTGGTGAGTGTCTAAAGAGTGCAGTTGTACAATGTACATGTTCTTAAAGCTCCTAGGGCTTTGCTAGCCTTCGAACTGTGTTGAGATAGGCACTGGAGACTGGAGAAGGGACTACTTCCCCTCTTACATGCATTTTAAAAGTCATTTGGAAGGCAGAAATGTAGACTGCTAAACAACAGTGTTAAGTGACTGCTTAATGAGCAATGTGATTCAGGCAGGACAGATTGAGAACTCTAGTTATTTTATGAATAGACACAGGGCCAAGTTTGTTCATGTATACCTGCAGGCCAGAAGAGGGCACCAGATCTCATTATATATGCTTGTGAGCCAACTTGCGGTTGCTGAGAATTGAACTCAGGTCCTCTGGAAGAGCAGCCAGTGCTCTTAACCTCTGAGCCTTCTCTCCAGCCCCATTAGACAACTTTCTCACTGTTTTAATCTCTTTAGCAAAATGCCCTTGGCCACTTTGGTTTTGTTCTAGAGATGTCTTTTCACACTTCCCATGTCCAAGGATATGATTTTTTTTAATTTTATTATTATTATTATTATTATTTTTGGATTTTTCGAGACAGGGTTTCTCCGTGGCTTTTGGTTCCTGTCCTGGAACTAGCTCTTGTAGACCAGGCTGGCCTCGAACTCACAGAGATCCGCCTGCCTCTGCCTCCTGAGTGCTGGGATTAAAGGCGTGTGCCACCACCGCCCAGCGAAGGATATAAATTTGTAAAACCTTTAAATTGTGTTTTTCTCTTCTCTCACGTCTTGTATGTGGTTAAAAGTAGCCACACGCATCCTTCAGTAGTTTGCTTGGAAACATCTTCCCTTAAATACCCTAGTCCATAACTCTTACACACCTTCCATAAAGCCCTTGGACATAGGCAAAATATGCCAAATTCTTACTACAATGTGACAGGGTTTCATTTACTCCTGTTTCTAATCTTGCCCTTTATTTCCTTTTGAGACATCCTCAGAGTTGCCTTTACTGTCCCCATTTCTAATATCCTATTTCATAACAAATGAAGTAATCTTAGAACATTTACACTTCCCTGAAGTCTTAGCCGCCGCTGAGTTTCCCCATAGTTGTTCTTCACGTTCCTTCACAGCAGTCTAAATGGTTTCTAGTCGCATTCTTCCCATTCTGCCTGGGAGTTGCTTTGGTGACTAGCTAGGTGGATCTAAGTTTTTCAGTATGAAAAGCGTTGTGCTTCTTTAAAACAAGTGACTTTATTATCATCAGTCTAAGAGAATCTGAAATGGTTGAAATAGTCTAGTTACTGCCAGTGCCTTTTCAGTCTGGTTGGTTTGTCCCCAGCTGACTCGTGGAAAAGTGAGGTGAAGGAAGCTGTGCATTGGTGGGAAGGCACCGAAGACGACCTTTGACACCGGGACAGCCATTCGATTTGGGGTTTTATCTTTCAGACAGGCGTGTGAGTTCTGTTCTAGGTTACTGCCAACCATGGTTTTTTTTGGGGGGGGGAGGAGGATTTTTTTTTTTCTTTTTGGTTTTTCGAGACAGGGTTTCTCTGTAGCTTTGGAGCCTGTCCTGGAACTAGCTCTTGTAGACCAGGCTGGTCTCAAACTCACAGAGAGCCGCCTGCCTCTGCCTCCCGAGTGCTGGGATTAAAGGCGTGAGCCACCACCGCCCAGCTCCAACCATGGTTTTCTGTAGGAAAACATGATTTTGTTATCCTGAGGTAAAATAGTTTCCTGTTTTAATGAATAAGGCGACTTGACAAACAGAAGTAGAATCCCCTGTGTCCTGTTGTCTCTTTGTCAGACACTGTCCCAAGCACCCTTTCCTTATACCTAGGTGCAATCTCACTCCAACTCCACAAGTTAGGCTTGTGGGGTTTACCTATATAGGAAACAGACAATATCTAAACAAAGTAATGAGTGCCTTGCTTCAAAGACAGGCTTCTGCTTGGATACAGTAAGTCTCAGTTGTAACATGGATGCTTTTGCCAACTAAAGAGTTTCTAAAGAGTGTGATACTTTTCAATGTTCTGTTACAGCTGTGTGCCTCAGATTCTATCTCCAGTGACAGGCTGACATAAAACTTAGTTGCGTACAATTAAACTGCTTGCTGTATGTTTGCTTTTTCAAAACATCTCATGATGTCTCATGGAACTCTGGTTCCATCTTAGCAATTTCTGACTGAAAGAATCTGTGTAATTAGCCTGCCTCCCTGCTGCCCACCCCCGCAAGAAACCAGCTGCGGATGAAGTCACAGTAAACTGGTGACAGGCTGGGTTCTAGCTCCTAACCTAGTACTTCTTATTTTTCAAGCCTTGCACTTGACTTTATTGTTCATATAATCAAGAAACATACCAAATGTGCTGTCCAAATGGAATAAAATGAACCTGTTCATAAATTCCCATAGATGAATTTTATGTGCAGTAAAATTATTTATTCACTTTTACTTGGAAAAAATAACCTGTTGGTGGAAGGCCGCTGCAGTAGAGGAAGAGCAAGAGCCAGCCCAAGAGTGACAAGACCTGGGGATCTGGATTTAAATAGAATAAACTGGGCATAGATGATGGCGTCTGCTCTAGGGCCTGCGCTTGGCAGCAGCAGGCATGCAAATGTGTGGGGCTGTCAGTTTACAGATGTCCTAGTTGAAGCCGAACCAGACAGGATTCAGTGGCAGTGATTTAGCTGATGCCGAAGATGTGTCGTGAACTTGGTGCTAGTGAGGCGCTGTGTCTCCCTTACCAAGGAGATTCAGAAATAGTCCCTGCACGAGAATAGCAGCAGATGCTTTTTCTGTGAGGTGAGCATGTTGGATCCCTGCTTCACCACCCCACTCAAGGTCCTTGAGACTGGGTCTCCCACTGCATCTGGAGCTAGGTTGCAGGACAGCAAGCCCCAGAAATCCTCCTGTCCCTCCCCACAGCCATGGGATTACAGGTGCATGCAACTATGCCTAGGTTTTTAGTGTGGGCTGTGGGGACTTGAATCCAGCACAAGCAAATGATTGTTCTCCCTGAACCATCATCTCCTTATTCTGGTTCAATTCCTTCTGTGGAGGTGAAGGAGATGCGCCACAGACCTGCTGAGCAGAGAACTGTGAGCTGTGGTGGGGGATGAGGGAGGCTTTCCGGGGAACAGAGCATTTTCAAGCAATGCCAGCAACGGGAAGTGAAGTTATGGCAGAGAATGACAGCAGCCATTTTCTCTTGTCCCTCCCTGCCTTTCCCCAGAACACAGTAGTAAACGATCAGGTAAAAACTGGTGCTTATGGGATAGAGGAAACTGCCCTGCCACCGAAGAGCCAAGCGTTCAGGACTATTTTATAGCCCGTGTCTATGGTAGTTGGCTTGGAGTCCAGGATAGGGTGAATGCTTCCTAGTGGCCGCTCCCCTTACTCCTCGCCTTCCATCCACAGAAACAGTTACAATTCTCTGCTGCTCATGGTTTTTTTTTTTTTGGTTTTTCAAGACAGGGTTTCTCTGTGGTTTTGGAGCCTGTCCTGGAACTAGCTCTTGTAGACCAGGCTGGTCTCAAACTCAGAGATCCACCTGCCTCTGCCTCCCGAGTGCTGGGATTAAAGGCGTGCGCCACCACCGCCCGGCTGCTGCTCATGTTTTAACCTGAGCAACTGTGTATCTCTGAGTGAGTGTCAGGACTGAAGAAAGTTTTGCTTGAGAACAGGTGAAAACGCCCTTTGACCTTTTTTCCTTTTAATGCCCCCCCTCCCCCGCGCAGGCTTATTCTTGTTCCTATGAGTACCCAAGAGAAGCAGTTTAGCCTGTATCTCTCAGTGACGCCTGGATCTCCCATCCGTACCCCTTAGTCCTGATCCCCCCCCCCCTTTTGTGCTTCTCAGCAATACCGTGTTTCCTCTTCCTTCATCTGGCACACACCTTTTGAAGTTACCATACTTGAGAACTGGAAAATAGGGACGTGTCTGTTTTGTTCAGTTACTTTTTCCAGTGTCTGGCACAGTCGGTGCTCCATAAATATTAGCAGATTCATTCAAGAAACCGTAGAGGCATTCACAGTCATATTGTGCATTGTTAATGGTTTCTCTTTCTTCTGGCATTTGTGAAAGTATACCATCCCTCAAAGAAGTAAACTTTCTCTATCTCTGTTGTCTATCAAGGTTGGAAGTACCTGCTCCCTTGGGCAGAATTTCTCCTTTGGCCTCAGCAGTGCTATGTTCACATCAAGGCCAATTCCTCATAGCCCTGCCTGGTGTTCTTGGGCCCAGGCCTGGCATTCATATGCCATGATCTTTCTAGATTGTCCTAGGCCTGATGTCCCAGAGAAAACAGTTGACGTAGAGTCTAGGGACTGGTTCCATGGCAGAGTGACTCTCCTTGTCCCTCTGGGTCTGCATCAGAACCCTGGGTCCCTAGGTATTCGGTAAGGTGTGTCAGGTGGACTGTAAACCAAATAACAGGTCTTGGTCTTCATGCTGCGACATGAGGATGGAGGAGAGACCCGGCAGTTCAGAAAGCCGCCTCAGTCTCTCCTGCCCTTACAGGCTCACAGAGGCACCACGAGGTTGTTTGGACATCCTTTTTTTTTTTTTAAGTTGCATTCTTTATATTTATCCTGTGTACATGTATAGGTGTGTTCATGCTGCCAGCACTTGTGGAGGTCAGAGGGCAGTTTGTGGAAACTGGTTCTCTCCTGGCATGTGGGTTGCAGGGATTGAGCTCAGGTCATCGGGCTTGGCAGCAAGTGCCCTTACCCACCAAACCAGCTAAACGTATTTTATTTAAAACAAAGCAGTAAGGACATTAACTCTATATGAGTGCTATGCGAAGAAGCCTCAGGTGCAAACCGTCCTCTTCAGTCTTTGCAAAGCCCTGGAAGTTCAGTCTTTGAAGTCAGTTTCCCCCATGGAGTCAGGTGGTTCAAGTGACTTCCCCAGAACGGAGCAAGGAGTCTGGTTGAGGAGCCCCTCAGAGCCTTGTACACCAACCCAGGGGAGCTTATCTGTGCTCTGTGTGGGTTTTAAGAGGGTCTGACATCACTTAAGGCTGCTCCACATTTGCACTGGATATGGCCTTGAAACCCCTGTTGTGGAAGGAAGTCTTGATGATCTTGCAACAGTCTTTGGTCAGGGTGCTGGGGGAAGGGTAAAGAAATTTCTTGGACTTTTCCCCCTTATACTGTAACACCTCTGGGCATTATATTACCCATGTTGGAAAAGGCATGTTGGAAACCATATTGATTTAGGGTCTCTCTGTCTGTGCAGGTTCTCTCTCTTGCGCACCCCCACATCCCCCCCCAGTCTCTCTCTCCCTGTCTGTCTCTGTATCTCTCTCTTTCTGCCTCTGCCTCTCTCTCTCCCCCTCTCTTTCTTTCTCTCCCTCTCCCCCTCCATCCCCAAGGTGATACAAGATGCCTCTGAATGATGAGAAGCAGTGTGTGAACGAGCAGAGTGATGTAGAGTCTTCCCCGTTCTCCGAAAGCATGGCTTCACTCAGTGACTTAGAGTGTTCCAGGCAGAGCTTCACCAGTGATTTCTCCAGCAAATCCAGTTCTCCTGACTGTGAGCATCTGGGAGCATGGTGGGGGGTAAGGGTGGTGGTGGGAGGAGGTGCTGGTATTGCATGGTGGCTTTGAGAACTCCGAAATGTTGTGAGCAGATCACACTCTTCCCTCCTTTCTCGATGCACCAGAACAGTATGTCAGAGGCACTGGAGCAATCCTCATGGGTTCTTAGGGATAAGTTTCAAACCTGCTCATTTTATTGTGAGCCTTGTCTCTAACCTGTTTGGTTCGAGCAGACATCTAAAACCCTCACCCCCAGCCCTGTCTGCTTGTCTCCCAAATGGTGGCAACACCCCTTCTTGAGATTGTCTTGTGGAGATTATGATGAAGTCACATTAGTCTTTTCTTTTTCACATTGAAGGAACTTTCCTTTGAGGAAGGGTGGACAGGAAGTGAAATGATCTAATGAGGGTTTCCCTGCTGACTTCAAACACTATTGTGCAAATCCCCCCAGATCAGCCCACAAGGAGAATTTCTACCCAGAAAAACAGCTGTCACCAGGAAGACACAGGACGTGTTTCAGCTGGTGCTTTTCCCCCTTCCCCTTACTTTCCGCAGGATTTCACTCTTAGTTCAGGCTGGCTTTGAACCTGTGGCAGTTTCCTCCACAGCCTCAAGGGCTATGGTTGTAGGTATGAACCACTACTTGGCTTTGCCTTTTGTTTTTTTTTTTTTTCAATTTTGAATTAGCATTTTTTTTCTAGAAAGTACATAACCTCTTAAACTAGCACAGCTAAGGTAGGAAAAAACAACCGATAGTCATTAAGATCAGATGCCCACTCCAAAACAACGTTTTGTTTATTTAAATTTTTATATTCCCCGTTTTAAACCTTGGAAGATCTATAGTATAGAGAAAAGACATGACCGCTGCCAGCACTTTGCCAGACCATCACCCTTCACACAGATGTGGACTCACCCTTCACATTGTAACCGGAATCCATGCGTGCTCACGACAGACTGCTTCCTGAACACCGTCCTCATAACCACCTACTGTGTCATAAAGTAAATAGGCATTAGACGGATATATTGATTTGTCATTGGACAGTCATTTTCCACCTTGTTTTGCTCTTTTATAAATGGAGTTTTATGAGCATCCTGATGCACTGAGGCTTCTGAATACCAATGGACCACAGATGTTTTTAAGAGAGCATCTTGAGGTAGAGAATCCACAGCAGCCACGTACTTCTGCGTCTTTTTCTCATCCTTGACACCATGTCCAGAGTCTCTACATCTGAAATCATGGTACCCAGGCATTCTGAAGAAAGATTTGGTCGATTCCTGGGCATCATCCTTCTTTTTCATCCTCCTCCCCCTAAGTACTTTCTCTCCCAGCCTCCTCTAAAACAAGAAATGGGAACAAGTGTTGCCCATTTGTGCCTTTTTTTTTTTTTGAGGTCCTGGTTTTTAACTGAAGCTGAGATTTTCCAGCTTGATTTTGTAAACTTGAAATATTAGAACAATTTTTTAGTATAATATCTAGAAATAACTCTAATTCTTTACTGTTTTCCTACTGAATAGATAATCCACCCTCTCAAATTTATTTTGTTACGCTTTACTGATGTATTGAGTTCCTCCTGTGTTCTTTTCTTGCTCAGCGGTGATGGTAGCGCGCACACTTCCGATCCTAGCACTTGGGAGGCAGAGACAGGTGGATCTCTGAGTTCAAGGCCAGCCTGGTCTACAGAGCGAGTTCCAGGACAGCCAGGGCTACATAGAGAAACCCTGTCTTGAAAAAACTAAAAAAAAAGAGAGAGGTTAAATTGTCTTAACACCTCAAAGAGAGCCTGTTAAGGGGGTAATATATGTACCAGTGAAGTCAAATGAGCTAGCGCTGAACTGCCTACACAGTTGGGAGCTGAAGCTACAGAAGGAGTGCTCAGATATTGGAAACCTTGGCCTAGCCCACCTTCCATTAGTGTGTGCTCTCTAACTTGTAAAGCCATGCTGTTTACAAGAACAAGCCTGCCTTGACACTGGGGGCATCGGATGCCAGCTTCTCTCCTACTGTATTAGCTGACTTTGTTTTTCTCAGCAACAAGTCCTCCCAACGGTGTCGTGTTTGACGACGTGATGGCTACGGCAAAGAGCTTATCAGACATGACTCTCGCTCACGAAATAGCTGTCAATGAGAACTTCCAGTTGAAGCAAAATGCTGTCCCGGAGAACAGGTAACCTGGAAGTCTGTGTGCGTGTGTAAGTGACGCTAAAGATTCTCTCTCTGTCTCTCTCTGTGAATGTAAGTGATGCTAAAGATTCTCTGACTCTCCCCCCCTCTGTCTCTCTGTCTCTCTGTGTGTAAGTGACGCTAAAGATTCTCTGTCTCTGTCTTGCTCTGTGTATGTAAGTGATACTAAAGATTCTCTGTCTGCCTCTCTCTCTCTCTCTCTCTCTCTCTCTCTCTCTCTCTCTCTCTGTGTGTGTGTGTGTGTGTATGATTAAATGTTGGGAAGAGTTCTGTGGGCATGCGTTGACTTAGGGGATCGAGTGAGGTTGTCCTGTCTTGTGAGCTCTTCCTGGGAAGTCTCCTGTTTCAGTAGTTATTCCTGGCTGGCGTTAAATGGGACATCTGAGTAGAAGATGGCAGCCATTCAAAGGTATGTCTCCTTGGAACCAACCTGTTCTGTCCCTCACCATGAAAGTTCAGCTGCTGAAGAAAGAGCAGTGCTGTTATCTTATCCCTAAAATACAGATCTGTATAGAAAAATATCTACTAAGTCATGATATGATGTTATTGAAAGATATGCTAAGCAAACCTTTAAGAGTTTAGGGGAAAAACAACACGAATCTCTAAATGAAAAAAATGTGTTGTTCATATTGGGTATTTTTTAATATTTATTTTTATTTGTGAGTGTGTGTCTGTCTGAGTATATGTGTACATGGAAGCCTCAAAAGGATATTTGATTGAGTAGTTATTCCAGCCAGGACTAACTACTGAAATAGGAGACTTTCCAGGAAGAGCTCACAAGGTGTTTGTGGGACAGCTGGCTTGTTAAGAGGGCTCTGAGATCTGACTTCCTGTCCTTATGATTACACAAGTCTTACCCACTAGACATTACTCCAGCCCTGTGTTTTTATTGTGTGAAAACAATACCCATGCTTTGAACAAGGAAAATATGTTAAAAGATCGGTTCTAGATTTTTTTAGAATTAATTTTCTAGGAAATCTATAGTGAACGTACATCTTTTAATGCTCATTTTATATAGTCCATTTTTTGCTCTAGCCTTCCTGGTCAAGTGAAGCGTGTTGTTCACCAGGCCTTCTGGGATGTCGTGAAAGCAGATCTCAGTGCTGACCCTCCCCAGTATGAATATGCCATCAGACTGTTTGAAGAAATCAGAGAGGCAAGTTGATATGGTCCCATTAATGCCTTAACCCACTGGAGTCAGTGTGATGGGGATTGTGGATGGGCAGCTTATAAACAGTAGAGATTCTTCACAGGCCCAGAGACTGGGAAGTCTGAGGCCAAGACACCGGATTTGCTGCCTGGTGAAGGCCTTTGTAGGAGAATCCTTCTTTCTTTATCCTCACATGGCAGAGGGGGACATATGAATATGGATGGGGGTGCAAATACACTGTAGCAGCTGGTTTCCTCTTCCCGAGACTGCTTGGGATCTTTGTATCATCCCTCACTCTGAAAGACTAAGTGCTGTCGGGGACCAGTGATTCTTTCATAACTACTTTTTTTTAAAAAAAAAAATTATTTATTTATTATGTATACAATATTCTGTCTGTGTGTGTATGCCTTCAGGCCAGAAGAGGGCACCAGACCCCATTACAGATGGTTGTGAGCCACCATGTGGTTGCTGGGAATTGAACTCAGGACCTTTGGAAGAGCAGGCAATGCTCTTAACCTCTGAGCCATCTTTCCAGCCCTCTTTCATAACTTCTTATAGTTGGGTGGAATCCAGGGAAATAGTATCAGACAGCTCAGGACAGAGCTTTGAACACAAAACAAGACCTTGAAGTTAGACCTGGGTTAGTAGTGGGCTCACTTTCTAAAATGTCAGCCCCTTGAGTTTTTGCAGTGTAGTTCCAGGAACTAAATGGGATGACGGCATTGCTTCCCCGTGGCATGCACAAGACACTTGCTCTTTGCTGTGCACTGCAGTATTAGTTATGTACACAGTCCCCCCCCCCCAGGCCCACACAGCTTTGGGGGCAGAGGGACCTGAATCAAGACTGTCAGACTCAGAGCTTTTGTTCCGCAGCCATCCCAGTGCACGAGAGCTTGGAGCCCACCATGCCACAAGTTCTCAGTTAACCATTTGTGTGCAAGGAGTTCTTCATGGATGTCACAGGGGTTTTTCATTTACCCTTGAGTGGTTTTGGAGCCATGATGTGCATGTTCCTCCTTCCCCTCGCTGGAGGCTTCTTGAAGTGTTCAGGTTCTGCTCCTTGTCATTCACCACAGTGGTGGCTTGTGATTGGGCAGATTGAGCTTTCTTCTCAAGGTTGAGACACTGAGTGTCCCTGGTAAACTCCCTAGGCACCACCTGGACGGACGTTGTGGTGTGACCAGGAGGAGTCACACCTTCGTCTCTAACAGTGCTGCTGACCTGGACAGACGTTGTGGTGTGAACAGGAGGAGTCACACCTTCGTCTCTAACAGTGCTGCTGACCCTTCTCTCTGTGCAGATTCTCCTCTCTTTCCTCGCTCCTGGTGCAAACAGCCTTCACAGCCAGATCTGCGAAGTGCTGGACATTGACCTCATTAGACAGCAGGCTGAGCACAATGCTGTTGACATTCAGGGTTTGGCCAACTATGTCATCACCACAATGGGAAAGATGTGTGCTCCTGTGAGAGACGAAGATATCAGAGAGCTGAAGGCTACGACCAACATCGTGGAGATGCTGAGGTTAGCCCTTTTGCTGTACACGTTGTCCTACAGTCTCTTCCCTTTCGTTCAGAAGAAACACGGGAGCATGGACTGCATAGGTCACCGGCCTTCAAAGGGAGCTTGTGACACCGGGAACGGGGCGGACAGGGAGCCCATCAGTCCTTGACAGAGTGTGTAGAATTTTCCAGCAAGGTTGTTAGTCTGCCTTCAGTGGGCCCCGAGGATACAGTAATAGGAGCAGAAGAGAGGAACAGACCTTGAACAACAGTTGCTCTTGGTGCTGTTGAAGGAGGGTAGAGGGCTGTCGAGCTTTCAGCAGGGATCCGTGTAGTCAGGGCTAGAGGAAGCCATCAGCTGGACAGAGTCATCAGCTGCTGCTGAAGTCACAGTGATTTTGTCAATAAACAGTTGTTTTGTGTGGTGTCTGACTCGAGGATTATTGGTCAGGCAGCTCGTCACTTCCTTTTGTGGACCCAAGCTCCTCTTGTCCTTGGTTGTTCCTTGCCTACAGCTACGAGTGTAAAGGGACTGTGGTACATCAGTGTGTAAACTCAGCACCAACAGACATATACCCTTGACTTTGGTTAGTCACACGGTCTCACCAGATTGATGTGGAGCTGGGGAAGGAATGTCTGGAGATACTGCCATAGCCTCAGATCTGCCAGACATTGGTAGTCAGTCATCCAGCTCTTGTACAGCTTCTCCAAGGATGTGAGGTTCACATTAATGTGTGAACATCTTTTCTATCTCTGTAGACAATAACTTCCTCATATTCCCAAAGGATGTACTGGGAGCCATGTTTTGCCATTGAGGGGAACTATTTTCTTTCATGAATACAAGTCATATTGAGAAGTGAGCTTTATGTTAGTTTTAGAAAACAAGGAGATAGAAACTGATCAATATAGAGAAAGTAATTTCATTTGTAGTCTGTACAAGTTGACAGTTTCTCAAGGCGACACTTTACTTACCTGTAAAATGGGCACTATATATCTTTAGAATTGTCCTGAGTTCTGGAAGGTTGTAGAAACTCTTCTTCTCGTTACAGTGTTACTGGCATATGATGTCAAATCTCCAGTGTTTATCTTGGTCATGGGTACCTAGTGGATACCACTTTTCTTTGATCCACTGAGTTTAGTTGGAGTTGCTTGCTTGAGCATGGGTAGCTCTGAGTGGCTACAACCTCTGAGGAGAATGCCACCTTTTCCCAGCCACCATTAACTGCTAGTAGCTGCTAGGCCGGGGTGGGAGTTTATGGCCACCTCCTTTCTCTATGACGGATATCAGAGGGCCCAGTCTTGTGCCCTTCAGCCGCTGTAGAAGGCGACATCTCTGTGTGAGGCTGAGAGCAGCACTAATCTATGAGTATAAACGTAAGTATTTAGAAGGCAGCTTGACAATGTGCATTTAGCCAAAAAATAGTAGTGGGTTCCCTCTATGGCCTATGGCCTTCTAAGTCATAGGATTTTGATTTAGTTTACAGTACCAGGTGTATATTTCTTTCTGTGATTTACGTAGGCCTTAAATCCGATCAGAATTAGCTGGTTACCCTACTAGCCAAGCCACTGCTGCCCAGAAGGTCTGTATTGTATGTAGTCTACAGCGTTGACACAGCTCGAGACAACCACTGATGACTGTTCTCCCCCAGCAGCCTGGTCTGCACCGCCTGACACTCCATTCACTAGTATCCAGGGGGAGCTGCCCTCCTAGATCCGGGCTGATTTCTGTGTCCAACAGTCAAAGTGTGCTCTTACCACCTAATTCTGGTGGGCAGCAAAAGGACAGTGGCAGTACACTACGTTGTTTTAGAGAAAGTTTTGGGACTTCTCTGGGCAACAAGTTGGAGGGAGATGTCCCATTCCTGACGATGGGATTTTGTTTAAAGACAGATGACTTCCGGGAGCAGCATTACCCACACCACAGGGCTCCTTCATTCCTAGCTTTCCGTTTATGAAGACATGGGTTTCGTATGCACTTTTTTCAGACATCTTTTGCTTTTGTTATTCACCCATGCCCCATCCTCCCTGCCCCATCCCTGTTTAAACCTTGTCAGCGAATCGTATCTCCCTCCTCTACTTCCATGTCCCATTTATTTCACCTCTCACCCACTTGGGCCTTCTGCAACCTCCTGGGGTTTTGTTTCCCGCCCTTTCCAGACACTGCTACAACACAGACACATAACACCTGGGATCCTCCCGTGAGAGAAGACACGAAGATTGTCTCCCTAGGTCTTAATCATTTCACTCAGTAGAAAGTTCTCAGTTCCATACATTTTCCTGTATGTTTCATAGTTCTATTTTTTTAAAAAAAATTTGAATAAAATTCCATAGTATAAATCAGGGTTTCTCAAACTTTTGGGTGGGTGTCAAATAGCCCTTTCACAGGGGTTGTTGTTGTTGTTTTGCTTGTTTGTTTTTTTGAGACAGGGTTTCTCAGTAACTATGGAGCCAACCCTCAAACTGAGTGCACCACCACCGCCTGGCCACAGGGTTTTTTTTTTCCTAATTTTGTTTTTAAGACCAACAAAGACACAGATGTTTACATTATGATTCTTTGTTGTTTTATTTTTTAAATATTTATTTACTTATTATGTATACAATATTCTGTCTGTATGTCTGCAGGCCAGAAGAGGGCACCAGACCTCATTCCAGATGGTTGTGAGCCACCATGTGGTTGCCGGGAATTGAACTCAGGACCTCTGGAAGAGCAGGCAATGCTCTTAAACACTGAGCCATCTCTCCAGCCCCCTGATTCTTTGTTTTTGACAGGGTTTCTCTGTGTAGCCCTGGCTGTCCTGGAATTCACTCTGTAGACCAGGCTGACCTTGAACTCAGAGATTGTCCAGCCTCTGTCTCCCAAGTGCTGGGATTAAACATATGTACTACCACCACCCACCTAATTCTTAACAGTAGCAAAATTACAATTATGACGTAGCAAAGAAAATAACTTTAAGGTTGGGGGTCACCAGCACATGAGGGTCAGCGCATTGGGAAGTTTGCGATCACTGGTATAAGTGGACTACATTTTCATCCACCTAGCAGTGATAGATATCTAGGCTGGCTTCATCTCCTGGCTATTATGCAAAGACAGAGATGAAAACAATTGCTTCCTGAACGTCTGTTTTCATTATCTCACTACTGTTCATAACACACTTCCAACGGGATGTTCTCTTCTTTTGGTCATGAAATACCGAGGCCCTGAGGAAGTGTGCTTGATAGTAGAGTTGGTCACCTGAAAAGCTGAATCTGAGCAGGACCGCTCGGCCTGAAAATCATCTCTTCCCTCACCGCCCCACTGCCCTGGCCTTTTATTTCCTCTTTCCATAGTAGCAGTTCAGGCTCCATAAAATTGCAGCAGGCTGCGGTGGACGAGCTGGGATTGTTACAAATGCTGCCACAGTGGGTGGTAGCACAGTGCGTGGAGGAGACATGTAGGATCCACATGTATAACCCTCCTTGAAAAATGAGCCTGGCGGATGACTGTTGACATTCTCAGCACCGTTTTCAGGAGGGTTATCTTGTCCAGCCTGTGACACATGGGTGGTCATCTGTTTCAATTTCACTTCCTAACCATTTCTCATTTCAATTCTGAAATTTTTAGGCAAATATTCCGTGTCTTGGACCTCATGAGAATGGACATGACGAATTTTGTCATTAGGACAGTTAGACCTCACATCCAGAATCATTTGGTGGAATATGAGAGGAACAAATTCCAGGAAATTTTAGAAGGAACTCCAAGTATGTATAACACAATGTGTGCTCATGTCAAAACTGGGTCAAAGTATGCGATTGTAACTCTTGCCTGTTTGAGTTGTGTTAATGTTAAAATGTTTTAAGCCTCTTGGTAGTTGTTGCGTGTGTCCCGGAAGCTGAGCTGCTCATCTTCCCTTCCCATTGACTTCCTGGGGAAGGGTTATTGAGAATCTGCTGCGTCCTATTGGGACGGTGCTATGGTATGGCGATAGACAGGACAGAATGAAGTTGTGGTCTCCAGGGAGCTGACATTCTCGTAGGCATAGCAAACAAGCATAGTCTGTCACATGTATCTCTAGGGAGCAGGCAGTAGCATTATGGTAGTGAGGGCAGAAGGCATTTGTAAGGAAGGAGCAAGGCTTCTTTAGTAACCTTTGAGCAGATTCTGCTAAGAACTAGGGGCGGGGCATGCACAGGTGTAGGGAAAAGGGAGCTGCCAGGACAGAGACCCTGAGGCAGAGGCTGGCTTTGATGTGTGAAGTGTACAAGGCAGATGTGACCGAGGGAAGGGGGGATGGGCAATGGGCTGAGAGGGGAATAAGGCAGGTGTGTCAGCTTCAATGAGGGCCACTGAGAGTCTAGTGCTGGAAGACTTTGAAAGCGTGGTTCCTGCACATGAGCAGTGAGCACACAGAGCTCTCAGTCGCGTGTCCAGTGCTTCTCAGACAAGAATGGCGGTGGCTGGACCAGATAGTAGAGATAGAGGGAGTGACGTCGGGCTCTGAGTGTGATTTGAAAGTGGAGAGTGCCCAGTGAAGGTTGGGTGAGGGGAATAGAGGCACTGAGGATAACTCAGTAAGGTATCTGGATGAAGCACTGGGTTAGTAGTGGGATGGGGAAACTTTGGAAAGAAAAGTGGGTTTTAGGTACATGAAGATATAGTTTGACATTAGTGTAGACATGCCAGGTAGGCATTAGGTGTGAGGGTTCAATGTTGGGAACCGTGGATACACACTGGGGTTCATCAGCATATTGATACTATGTACAGCTATAAAAGTAGATAACTGGAAAAGGGGCTTAGCACATTGTAACCGATTTTCTTACAGTAATATTACAAGTATATGAAGTTGCCTCCCACTTTCTAAATGAAGAAATTGAAGCATAGAGAGGTTAAATCACTTGCTTCTATAACACAGCTTATAAAGTATGGAGCTGGATTCACCCAGGCAGACTCACAAGTCCGTGCCCTTATCTTTCTTACGTGGGATAAGATGGCCTTCGGGAGTAAGTGTGGCTGTCGAGGGGTCTGGCCTGGGAAGGTTTAGCGTCTAGAGGTGATGTAAGGAGCATCAGCAATGGAGACTGTGGGGATAGCCGGGGAGGTAGGATGCCAGCCAGGAGTGCATCCCACAGTGTAACAGGAGGAGCTGAGTGGATGCAACAGGACCTTTGAACTAGTTAAGAGAGATGAAGATTGAGACTGGACCCCCGAATTTGACTAGTGAGGATTATTGATAACTTTGATGGGTGCCATTTCAGTAGGTTTATGACTGGAGAGGGGGCAGAGAATGATTGAGTAAATACTACCTCCATCAATCAAGTGCCCAGTGAGGCAGGTCCTGTCACCCTTTCCTCTTCCAGTGGAAAGCTGGAAGTGCCATGGCAGCTAGCAGGTGGCTCTGGTGATGGGGGTTTTATTGCAGTGATCTAAGGCTGTTGGGTAGCCTAGTTTCCCTCTGGTCCACCCCTGACAGCCTGAGCTTCTCCATCACAATGATAGCACATAGCATTATGTAAACAGGGCACAGCGGATGCTGGTTTTAATATGGGCCCTTACACCCTGGAGCACATCCAGGGGAGCACATAGATCGTGGGAGCCACTTGAGGAATGGTCATAAATGGAGGCATGTTCTGCTTGGTAACGAGCTCGTAATACCACATTTCCCTTCGATAGCAATTTAGAGACTTTTTTAAGGTCTGTGGGGCCAATTAAAACCTTTACAAGGAAATAGTAGATGGGCGACTAGATCTCCCCAATAACTGGAGCTGTTTGGATTTTGGGATAGGCCTCTCTCTGTTGCTAGTTGCTATTACCTTTGTCAAACTCTTTGACTGATTAGTTCATTCAGGTCTGACTGGAATCCTAAGAGGCTGGCAATGTCGTTGCCCTCTGTTTACATATGAGGGAACTGAGGTTAAGTTACAGGCCTAGACGATGTCGGTAGTATACAGCCTGGATACCCAGATGTTTTCTGCCTGAGAACACACGCTGTTTTTTCTTTTTTCTTTTGGTTTTATGGAGACAGGGTTTCTCTGTTCAGGAATATGGGAACATAATCATGCACATGATCTTGGCAAAAATACAGCTCTAATCACTCAACTAGGTTTAGCACCCCGGAGGGGTTAATGCATTGAGTCCAAACTCAAGGTCGTCTGTGAGCAAGTGGGGCAAGCTGGTTTCCAGCTGCCAAAGCAATGCCATTAGGAATTGTTTCTACTCCAGCTCCGTAAGGACCAGCAATACATGAGTGATGTGCCATATGCTGCCTTTGGAAGGTCCCTGTGTGGGTGTTCTCCTCGCTAGCATACCAGGTAGCCTTTGCTAATCTCTGCCTTGAGGTGTCACGTGGCAGGTCTTTCTCATGAGCATTCTTGAATAACCCTGTTCTCTCCTGCTCCCCGAGCACTCGCTGTTAGAAGCAGTAGTTGCTCACAGGTCTGTCTCCACGTGGACTTAGGGCCTGGCTGTATATTTTCATTCATTCATGCCTGGGACCTGTGTGAATCTGTCATGTGGAATATGTAAACAAAAGGACTGATCTGCTAAAGAATAACCTTTATTATTATTATTATCATTTTGCTCTTAGATGCCCTCAGTCAGACTACAGAATGGCTGAAAGAGTCTATAGATGAAGAATTCCTTTCTGAGACTGCCGCAGCTCCTGGAACTGAACAGAGTTCCCCGCCAAGCCTAAGTCCTCTATTGGTGCTAAATAATTGTTACTTGAAACTGCTTCGGTGGGATTACCAGACGAAGGTCTTGCCAGAGGTGAGTGGCTCTGTCCTGCACAGGTATCGGGCATTCAGTTCCTGAGTTGTGACTCTGAAGCAGAGAGCCCGTCTGTGTCGCATGGCTTGGTAACTAAAGTCAGACAGAAATGAGGACGTAGACAGGACGCTGCGTAGTTCACATTTTCATGCATTGTGCTTCCCTCTCTGTTTTCACATGTTAAATATGCTAGACACTCGTGACAGATGGAACACGACTTCAGGAACTGACAGAAAAGCTAAATCAGTTGAAGATGATTGCCTGCTTGTCCCTAATTACCAACAACATGGTGGGTGCTGTCACAGAAGGCCTGCCCGAGATCGCCAGCAGGTTGAAAAGGATTTCAGCTGTTCTACTCGAAGGCATGAATAAAGAGTAAGTTCTTTATGTGTGTCTGTTCCGTCACACAGAAACATTGTACACGTATCTCCCAAAGCAGGCAATAACCTTGGCCATGAGGACGTAGCTGGCACTGCTGGCTTCCAAGCTTCTCAGAAGTTCTGCGTGTCCTTTCCCGGGAAGGCAGACCGTGTTCCGTGACACGTGCCAGGATAAGCGTCGTGTTCCCCTTTCAGCAGTGTGCACAAGCGCTGTTGTGGGTCAGTGCTTTGGAGGCGTGCGTCTGTAACCCTGGGGGCTGTACAGGCGGACAGAGAAATGGGTTCTGGGTACTTGCTGGCCAGCCAGGCTCCAGACTAGCTAGCTCCAGGTGACGTGGGAGACCGTGGAGGGAGACACCTGGAGTTGATCTCTGGCCTCGAGGTGAGCACACGTGACTGAGCATACTCTCCCACTCCGTGTGCACATAATAAGGAAAATAATAATTCTTTTCTACTTTGGAATTGTGAAAATAAAAGGAGATTCCTATGAGAGTCTTTGCCTAGGTATCTGGCACACAGCATGTACTCAGTGAATGTTAGTTATGAATAACTGCTTAGGTGTTCAGTCATCTTCCTTATAGCTTTATTTCTGTTTACTGGTTGTTTCATATATGTAGAAACATTCCTTCATAGGAAATGAATACGTTCACTGCTCACGTACTCGCCTTGTAGATGGAGTAACAGCATCTGTAATATAAAACAAGTAGGTGTCATTTGCATATGCTTTGGTGATCTGTCACAAAACAGGCAAGGCTTTGCTTTTATTGTGAATAAGAAGTGACTTACATTAAAATTTAATTTTTCCTTTAGCCTAAGAACTTAGTGACTAAAAGCAGGAGAAAGCTGCCCTATAGTATACTAAACTTCAGAAGGAAAAGATTTTATCCAGACAACCTGCCCGTGGATTACAGGTGCTGTGGGTCGGCAGCAGATCAGCTAAGGCGGAGCAGTGGTGGTGACAACCACTTCCACACTCTTCTCACTCAGTGCCTCTGTCCACTTGCCTTTCCGCTCAGAGCGAAGTCAGGCATCCAGCAAGTCCTGTGCAGGAGCCCTTTTTGAACCACGGTCTTTACCACATCAAACTCAGGTCCTAAAGTACTCCATTATGCTACCTTCTATCACCAGGCTGCCTCATTCTTTAGTTCTTAGTTTTCACAGATAAGAACCCTTTCTATATAATGAGATATCTTTTTCAATTATTCTTTGGTAGTGCAGATCTACAAACACCCTCACTAATTCCTTCTTTCCTTCTTGATTAAATGCCTGACTCCTTAATTACTGTTTAACGTCTAGACTGTGCATGTGGGATTATTTGTTCGCTACTGACTGCCTTTGGTCATGATCAATCTAGAATGTCAGTTAATTTGGCCTCTCAATATCTCTGATTTTGACTGCTGTTATAGATTTACTGCTATAGTTATAGAAAAATTATGTTTTTCTGCTCAACTTTATAAGCTCTTTAAAAATATCTGAGATGGTTAAAAGCACTTGGCTTCTCTTCTAGATGACTTGGGTTTAGTTCCCAGCACCGACATGGAAGCTTACAACTGTCTGTAACTCCAGCTCCAGAGGATCTGATGACCTCTTCTGGCCTCCATAGGGACTAGGCACACATGTGGTGCACATATGTGCATATAGGTGAAAAATTCACATATGTAAGATAAGTCTTTCAAAACGTGTACGAATGAATTCACTCCTACCAGTGGGTATGAGAAGCAAATGGATATTTTCTGTCCCCTGGCTAACTCCGTGGAAACGGGTTTTACAAGCACCTTTGCTTTCCTGTCGGACACGGGTGCTCAGGCGCATGGTTCTCAGCACTTAAAAACCTACAGTGTGAGAGCACCGGTAGCTGGGAGAGGCGCTATCGTCTGTCCGTTCTAATAAAAGCAGTTGCTGTTGTTGTGAGAGAGAATTGGCAAGCACCTGAAGCAGCGTATTTGAGAAGATGCCTGAAGACCTGCCTGATGCACTTTGCTCTGTGTTTTCTAGGACCTTTAACTTGAAGGAAGCCCTGGATTCTATTGGTGTTCAGACTTGTGCTGAAGTTAATAAGGCCCTGGAAGAGAGAGGCTCACCCACCTTAAATGCTGAGGTTCAAGCTAATCTCATTGGTCAATTTTCAAGCCTCGAAAAGAAGGACAATCCTGTCTGTACCTTGATGGGTGAGTCCTCTTTATTTTTAAACAGTTTCTGCTTCGGTTTGAATCTGCTTTAACTCGCTGCATCAGATGAGGTTTAAGTGGCAGTCATAAATTTGTATTATTACATATTAGTACACAGTACTAAACACAGCTCATTACTGAAAGCAGCATCCAGAGGCAGGGGCTGATGCAGAGGCCATGGAGGTGTGCTCTTACTGGTTTGCTTACCTGGCTTGCTCAGCTCCACCCACAATGGTGTGGACCCTCTCTCATTGATCACTAATTAAGAAAACACTCAGCAGGCCTGCCTCCAGCCTGATCTTACAGAAGCATTTTCTCAGTTGAGGCTCCTCCTCTCTGATGACTTTACTAAGCTGACATAGATACTTAGCTTTTACTTTTGAAGGACAGATAATGTATAAATAGTGTTTCCATAGGCCTTGCCTCTCTGTTCAGAGCCTACCCCAACTACCCAGCCAGTGGTCTTTATGCAGACAGTATGGTGATGTGGAAATCTGGGTGAATGTGCGGCTCACAGAGTGAGGCCGATGGTTCTGCCGTGAGCACACCTGAGAGAACTGAGGTCCCCTGGGAGGCATCATGGATGGGCTCTCATTGTGTTTGCTGGTCAAGCAGACAACTTCTCAGTGTCAAGCTGGGGGGAGAGTTGGCAGTATGGAGCATGCACCAGGACTCTTGCAGCTGAGAGGGTCAGGGATGGGGCTGGCTGCTTCGGGTTTTCTGCTCCATTGCTCCATTCTCAGCACTGCCCCCGTGGACTGGACGCCTGCACACTAAGGTGGCTTACTCTGCCATCATCCTTCCGTGGTTAAGCATAGACAGAGACTGTGATTTTGTGTCCCAGCCGCCCAGGCCCAAATAACCACACAGAAACTATATCAAGTCCAACACTGTTTGGCCAATGGTTCATGCATTTTTCTAGCTAGCTCTTACATCTTAAATTAACCCATTTCTATTAATCCGTGTATCACAACAAGGCTGTGGCCTATTGGTCAAGTTCCGGCATCCTTCTCCTTCGACAGATACATGGCGTCTCCTTGACTTTGCCTTCTCTCTCTCTCTCTCTCTCTCTCTCTCTCTCTCTCTCTCTCTCTCTCTCTCTATCTTTTCCAGCCTGGCTATATTCTGCCTTTCCATACGCCAAAGAAGCTTGTTTATTAGCCAACCATACAGAGGGGAATCCCACATCACCACACAAGAGTTAGGAGTCTTACCCCTCTGTTAGCTAACAGTGACCCAGCATGGAGTCCTGTGGGCTGTAAACAGCCTAACTGTAGGTCAGGTTTTTTCCTTGAATTGGTCTCGGTGATGAGAGGCAAAGGAACTTGATCTTGAAATGTGTGTTCAACTCTGGGACAGCCTGCTGAACCCGAGGATCCGTGTAGGGGAGACACAGACCGTTCCCTTACACAAGCAGGGTGTCACCATAAAGAGGACAAAGGCAGGTGTTTATAAAATGTGTTCAGTTATGCAGTGGCTGAAAACATAACGTAGAAGGCGGAAGAGAGCATATCCCAGATTAACCTGTCAGCTTTCCAAGTACAGTGTTGGGCCCTAGCAGTGTGACATTTTATTATGGATTCAGGGGCTCTGCAATCATTTCTCTTACTCTTATTCCTGGGAGCATAGGATACCAGAAGTTCAGCTGCACAGGCTACTTAGGTGGTCCAAGGCTTCACCTTGACCCCAGAAAGGACCAATGCCAGGGTACAGCACTGTGGGTGGCAGCAGAGGCTGCTGCCAAGAGGGGACAGTGGATGGTGGTAACTGGCACAGCCCCTTGTCACAGCTGCTGATCTGCCTCTGCCCTTGGTCTCCAGAGGAGCAGCTGTGCTCGGAGAGATTGTGCTCCTGGGGAAAAAAACAAACACGCGTGGCTGGCTCCCCACTAGTATGCAGACCTTATGAGCACGGAGAATGTGTCCGCTGTCTGCTGCTTCTCTACATGGTACTGGATGTATAGATGGCACTTAATGCACACTGTAAAGTGCCCACGTCTAGATAACCAACAGGGTAGTACCCACGTCTAAATAACCAACAGGGTAGTGCCCACGTCTAAATAACCAACAGGGTAGTGCCCACGTCTAAATAACCAACAGGGTAGTGCCCACGTCTAAATAACCAACAGGGTAGTACCCACGTCTAAATAACGAACAGGGTAGTGCCCACGTCTAAATAACCAACAGGGTAGTGCCCACGTCTAAATAACCAACAGGGTAGTGCCCATGTCTAAATAACGAACAGGGTAGTGCCCACGTCTAAATAACCAACAGGGTAGTACCCACGTCTAAATAACGAACAGGGTAGTGCCCACGTCTAAATAACCAACAGGGTAGTGCCCATGTCTAAATAACGAACAGGGTAGTGCCCATGTCTAAATAACTAACAGGGTAGTACCCACATCTAAATAACCAACAGGGTAGTGCCCATGTCTAAATAACCAACAGGGTAGTGCCCACGTCTAAATAACTAACAGGGTAGTTAATACCCATGTCTAAATAACTAACAGGGTAGTTAGTACCCATGTCTAAATAACTAACAGGGTAGTTAGTACTCATGTCTAAATAACTAACAGGGTAGTGCCCACGTCTAAATAACCAACAGGGTAGTTAGTACCCACGTCTAAATAACTAACAGGGTAGTTAGTACCCATGTCTAAATAACTAACAGGGTAGTTAGTACTCATGTCTAAATAACTAACAGGGTAGTGCCCACGTCTAAATAACCAACAGGGTAGTTAGTACCCACGTCTAAATAACTAACAGGGTAGTTAGTACCCATGTCTAAATAACTAACAGGGTAGTTAGTACTCATGTCTAAATAACTAACAGGGTAGTGCCCACGTCTAAATAACCAACAGGGTAGTTAGTACCCACGTCTAAATAACTAACAGGGTAGTTAGTACCCATGTCTAAATAACTAACAGGGTAGTTAGTACTCATGTCTAAATAACTAACAGGGTAGTTAGTACTTATGTCTAAATAACCAGCAGGGTAGTAGCCATGGCTAAATAAACTAACAGGGTAGAGTCGGGATTCTTACCTTGCCCATCTGGCTGCAGGGTTCATATCCCTAATTGTATTTGGGCAGAGCTGGAGCCCTGAACTCGCAGTGTGTCTGTGCCCTGGATATAAAGTGGGAAGTGGGGTGGGGGTAGGAGATGCCTCTTAAAATCTGGTAAAGCAGCTTAGTTTCCCAGGTCTCCCCAGGGCAGCTTTGCCTGCTTTTCTGCACACTGAAGGTATTTAAATCTTATTCAAAGTATCCTTTCCTTAGCTGCTCAAGTGACGGTCTTAAGTGCCTCTCTTTTAACTCTGGCAGACAAGAACAGGTCTTTGGCAGGGACTCCGTTTGACTGCTTCAAACTGAACAAATGCTTCTGTATTCTTGGCTTAAAAACATGAATGCCAAAGAGGAGGCAGAACTACTTGTTGATATAATAATCATTTTGAAAGGATTTTATTTTTAGGGTTTCTTATGACAAAGTGTTTGGATTGTATCTGTGATGAAGTTAGGCCCAGTCTAAGGGAAAGTTCACTGAGTTTTTGCATGATGAGAAACCAACATAAATTAAATATTTAGATCATGGCATATAGGAAATGCTCTGCAGTGCTGGCCACGGGCCTTCCCTGTGCGTGACACCCGTGCTCTGCAGTGCTGGCCACGGGTCCTCCCTGTGCGTGACACCCATGCTCTGCCATCCTGTGTTTCAGTTGATGTGGATCTGTTTGCCAAGGGCATTACACCTCTCGCTATGCCATAATGCTTTGAAAAGATAGTTAGAAATGGAATTTTCTCTCAAACCAAAACTTTCCCCAATATATAAAAAAGGTAAAAACTATCTATGGATTACATGTGTATATGCATGCCCATAGCCATTTCCATTTTTGTGATTTTTTTTTCAAATGCCTAAGTGATACATGAATAATTTCTCCTTGTTGAAATACACAGGTGAGAATTATTTTGTCTCTGCTTGCCTTCTCTAGGCTTCCATTGTTTTCCATTTGGTATTTATAAACTGTTTTCATCCCATTTTCATTCAGCTAGGATATTTGTGCCATATGTCAGGCCAGGAATATAAAGAAACATAGCCTCCACTCCTCTGTACCTTCAAAGGACTCACTCCTTAAGATAGGAGAAAGACATGTACACTGGTGTAACCTGGTGGAAGTCTGCAACAGATGGTCAGAGAGACCACAGAACTTACTTTAGATCCAGCATTGAAGGAGATCTGGAGAGAGGGAATGGAGTGGGACAGGAGTTTAATAAGAGGAAAAATTCTAACACATGCATGTTGGAAATTTTCAGGTTCCAGGGTCACTTTGGGTTAAAGTATAATTTGTGGGAAAGTGTTTGAAAATAAGAGTTTGGATTAGTGTCAAAAGCCATGCATGTTGGGGCTGGAGAGATGGCTCAGTGGTTAAGAGCATTGCCTGCTCTTCCAAAGGTCCTGAGTTCAATTCCCAGCAACCACATGGTGGCTCACAACCATCTGTAAGGAGGTCTGGTGCCCTCTTCTGGCCTGCAGGCATACACACAGACAGAATATTGTATACATAACAAATAAATAAATAAGTTAAATGATTTTAAAAAAAGCCATGCATGTTGATTCATACCTGTAAATCCCACCACTTGGAATGTGGCAGTGAGAGGATCCCTAGTTCAGACACATAGCTTGAGGCCACCCCAGGCTTTTGTCTTCAAAGGTGGGAAAAAGTCTGATTTCATGTCATAACTGTTGTCCTCAGTGGACGGTGTTATTAGCAAACATTCTTAGGTTTGAGGGTTTGGTCTCCAAAGCTGGGGAGAGCCCTTAGGGCTGCACATTGGTGGTCGGTATGGCTGGCATTACTGTCCGATGCGACTGTAGCCCAATCACTGCATGCACTTGGCTTGTATCCGGTAGTCACCAAGAGATGCAGTGGGGCAGGCAAGGGAGGTGACTGATGCAGTGCAGTGGAGCAGCCCTTCTGCAGCCTCTAGTGCAGAGGGCGGGGTAATAATTACGAGGGCAGGGCGCTTTGCATAGTACGGTTTGAACTATACCAGAGCAGTAGGCATGGGCTTCGCTGTCTCTGGGAAACCTAGATGTGTGGACCAACTTCCTCTGTGTTGTGTTGAAATCCCAAGTGTGCTGGGTTTCTAGATTTTTTTCTTATAGAACCAAAAATTTGGATTTCAGAATGAAATCCCTGATTTTAAAATGCTTCTATAAAAACAAATCAAGTGGGTGGTCCTTGGACTTCCCACAGGTCAGGGAACCCTGATTGCTCTTCGGGCTGATGAGAAAGGGGAACTTCATCGGGGGAGGGGGAGGGAAATGGGAGGCGGTGGCGAGGAGGAGGCAGACATCTTTAATAAATAAATAAATTAAAAAATAAAAAAAAAAGCAAACCAAACCCTAAACCAATATGACGCTTGCTGCGTTGATAGTGCCAGCTTCAGTGATGGTGGTGGATGTTGGTCATTTGACTTTCGTAAAAATATTTTACCACACAGTCAGGCAGTGATAGCTCGTACCTTTAATCCCAGCACTTGGGAGGCAGAGACAGGTGTATCTCTGAGTTCGAGGCCAGCCTGGTCTACAGTGTGAATTCCAGGACAGGCTCCAAAGCTACAGAGAAACCCTGTCTAGAAAACCAAGAAAAAAATTGTACCTCACAAAAGCACTTAGTTTTTCCTGATCAACCATTTCTCGCTATCTATAAGTCATCCTAAAACTCTATAGACTGAGTTGTATCTACTTTCTCACAAGACTGTAGGTCAACTGAGTAGTTATTTGACCTTGTCCAATTCATTCATGTTTCTGTGGCTTAAGCTGGTAGCACTATTGATCTCGGCCGGACTCTTATCAGAAGCTTGAGAGGTGGCTCTCTGGAGTGCCCTCCTGTAGATCTGTCCTGCAGTCTTGCCCAGCAGTTTCAGCTTTACTCACATGGCTGATGGTAGGCAGAGTGGAATCAGTCATGCATCTTGAGGCTTAGGCATGCATCTGGCATCCTGGCATTTCTGTAACATTGTGTGTTAGCAAAAACAGGTGACGAAGCCAGTTCAGACGGAGGATGAAGAAATACTCTGCATCCTTAATGGAGGAACTGCAGTGCCACTTGAGAACAGGCAGGGGTAAATGGGAGTCTTACTGTTGTTATTAAAGATTGTGTACTTAATGGAACAGGTAAAGATACCGTTGTTTTTCCTTTAGACAAACGGATCCAGGTGTACATGAGAAGCCTGCTCTGTCTTTCAATCACTCATAAGAGCCTGCCTCCTGTGCCACTGGGCCTTGATGTCATTCAGCAGGAGCTGGAAGTGCTTGGCTGTCAATTCACAAACATCGTGAATCTCAACAAACAGGTGTATGGACCAATCTATGCAAATATATTCCGAAAGCTGCTCTTGAGGGATGAAGCTGTGGGGAAGACGGACATTTCACTGCCAACCAACTGACGTGAAGCTGGCGCTGGAGAAGAGATGGAAGTCAGCCCTTGGCGCACTGTCCTGTCCTCATTTCTACCAACGGCACATATCCAGTGCTGTCCCCAGAGCAGTGTTGGACTGAACCTGTGTAGTCTGGTAACGTCGGCATCACGGAAGGGCCACATAGCCATAGACTCTTTTGTGTATCGTTTCCAAGTTAAGGCAGACAGGTTTAATGAAGAAAAGTACTTTGTAATGACTTACACCACCTATATAATACTGGTGTTTTCTTACACATTTATACTGAGTATTTCTATGTGGCTCGTTCACTCAACCTAAAAGGAGTTGTTTTTGTTTATATACTTGATTATACTGCAGTTTCCTGCAGGAATACAATGTGCAAACATTTAAAAAACATATTGAAAATGAAGGGCATTCTGCTTTTTTTTTTTTGTTAAGTGGCAAAATAAATTTGTGTCTCGAGTCTGGATTTAGCCAAGTCCATTTATTAGGATTTTAATCATAGCCCTTGGTGTGTTTATTTGGTTTTCACTTAAATGTTCGTTCCTACTTTTGAGGCTTTCATAACATGAATGTTCTGTAATAAAAACTTTATTAAGCAGCTGACATGTCCTCTTTCCATTCTTTTACTGCTGAAACATGTATTGCTCGTGCTAATTATATCTTAAAATGCTGAATATGACTTCAGGACAATCAGGAAGTTTTCTAACTTCCCTTGGGCTCTCAGAATGGAATACTGAGCAGTTGTTTGTTTCTTTTTCCTGCTTTGTTTTTTCTTTTTAGACAGTGTCACTCCGTAGCCCTGGCTGGCCTGGAATTGGATATGTATACAGACTGGCTTTGGGTTTACAGAGGTCTGGGATTAAAGCTGCCCTGGGCTCTTCTATTAGCTATGCCAGGCTGTGCTGCTCCTCAGAGCCTTCAGCCCATGGCATCGCTTTGTTCCCTCAGTTAACAAGCTCCTCAGGAGCATCCACGGGTATCACGTCAGCAGCAGAAATACTAAAACTGACCCATAGGTTAGCGTAGCCCCTACACGAGGAGGATGTGAGAATTCCTGAGGTGCCCTACCCTGTCAAAGCACAGTAGGCCAGATTTAATAAATCCCGTAACTTCCCCTCATGCAGAATGTGTCTACAGTGAAGATACGGAAGGAGGACGATTTAATGAAATCAAAGAGGAAGGGAACTGTGGGAGGTGGGCGTGGAGAATGACGGAATAACGGGAACATGTGATCAAAGTATATTACATACCTGGAAAATGTTATAATGAGCCAGGTGTGGTGGTTCAATCTGTATAGTTCCAGCAGTCAGCAGGCCAGGCGAAGGATCACAAATCCAAAGCTAGCCTATGCTATAGAAACTGCCTTAAATGTCATAATGAGACCATTATTTAGTATAATTAATATATATTAAAAAATAATTTTGAGATTTTTTTTTTTTCGGAGACAAGTTTCTCTGGCTATCCTGGAACTACCTCTGTAGACCAGGCTGGCCTCAAAATCAAGAGATCTACCTGCTTCTGCCGCATTTGCCACCAATACTCAGCTAAATAATAAATTTTTAAACACTCCAATGAAAAAGTTGTGAACAATTATTAGGGGCTATAAAATAAATGTGATTCATGCTGGTGAAGATCGCTGACCTCTCCAGTGGGAAGGATAATTCTTAGACTAAGGCCTAAAGGACACTGAGGATTAATGGTTCAAGAACCAGCAGCGTTGGAGTGGACACAGTAGACTCTGGCTGAGCAGTGAGTGCCATGGTTAAGAGATGCAATAAATATAGAAAACAACAGATAAGAACGAAGCGATGGAAGCAAAACAAAGGTGGAACGTTTCTTGGGTGCCATGGTCAAGTTTCCTTTTCTTATTTGTCCTGAAGGGGATAAAAACAATCGCTGAATGTTTGCAATGGGAGAAGGCCACACACAAGATAGCTCTTGCAGCAAAAATTCCTGTTGGTGGTGATACCAGCCTTGTGTGTGTGGTGTGTGTATGCACATGCTCACAGAAACACACATTATCAACAGTAAAAACACCTGAGAACAAGTGGTGAAGGAACTGAATGAATAGAGTTCCTCACAGAACCAGCTTGGTTTGAAGAGTCAGTCTTGGAAAACATGGAGACTATGTGTGGATTACCACACATCCAGCCATACTCTTAAAGCTGCTGCTGCTTGGCCTCACTGGAGTCCCTGATTCCAACACTCACCCCGTTGTGGTAGGGGTGAAACAAGGGAGTGGTTGACTCCTATTCCTGGGCCCCCACTACATTCCTGTTCTTGTTCTAACATCTCCACTTGCTGTTCCGAAAGAAGTAGAATGGGACCGAGATCACAAGATCCAAATTCGAATCCACCCCTGCAATTCCATTGCTACGTAAGTTCGAGCCATGTTTTAATCTTCACGAAGCAGCTACTAACCTTGTCTTTCCTTCAGACTGCTTGTCTCCCTCAACTGCAGCATAATGTAACCACCTTACATTACTTGCATCTGTAATTGATGAGGTCCTAAATCTCTTTCAAGCTTCAAGGGCTTTTAGCGTCTTGAGGAATGATTGCTAAGTGGTTAACTACACAGGAACACAATTTGTCATTTCTCATCAGAACCATGGCTCATAAGGCCCATTACTAGCCACGGTAAACAGTTCTTCCTACGCAGCGCAAACAGCTTTAGAAGGAGTTAAATGAAGTCTTTGCTTCAGGGGTTCATGTTGTGGCCACTGTCTATTATTCATGATTCTTCGGATGAGTTATACAGTTAGAACTCCTGTATTTTGCCGTGCTCAATCATTTTGGGGAATGGGCAATTAGTTAACCTGCCTGTTAGGAGATCTAGGATTAGCCAGAAGAAACCTCAGAACTACACCAGGAGGAGCCGTTTCCCACATCCGGCTCGGTCACTTCCGGGCTCCAGAACCAGGCGGAACCTTTCCGCAGCGCCTCCGATAAACAAGCGCCGCGGGGACACTTTAGGACAACGCACACCAGCCTCCGCGTGCCGTTTGCTTGGAGCAGCAGAGGCGGATGTGGACGTTCTGTCGACTTCTTCCTTCACCGTGAGCGGAATGGATGTGCTGGCGGAGGAGTTCGGGAGCCTGACCCCGGAGCAGCTGGCGGCGCCGATCCCGACGGTTGAGGTAAGCGCTGTGCGGGCAGGCGGCGGAAGAGGCTGGAGGCGACCGGGGAGGCGTTCCCGGGAGAGCCTTGGTGCTGTCGGGGGCGGGCCCTAGGCTTCTGCGCATGCTCAGAGCTGCGCGCGTGCGAGCCGACGCGGTCTGGAGCTCGCGTTTTGGGGTAGCACGAACGGAATTCTCTGTAGCGGCCCGGGTTTAGAAGCTCAGCGGACGCCTCGCGGGTGAAGCATTTCTAGTGCTGAGGTGCACTGGCAAGAACTGGCCCGCCCTCGCGTTCTTCCGTGGGGAACCAATATCATGGCGTCCCGCAGCCGCTGCGGTGCTCCCAGTAAATGTGAATCCGAATCCCACGCTGTCATCGTGTTCCTTTCAGCCCAGAGTTTCTTTGGACTGCAGACATTTTTAACTGCCTGAATATTTCCCCCAAGTTTTGATCTTGTATTTTCTGACTGGCCCCTATAACTTTTTTTTTATCACATTCTCAAGAGTTAAAGAATAATTGCTTTGTAGTGCCGTTATGGGCATGATTAAATCCATTCTGAGATATATGGAGGTACATACAGTGTTTCTGAGCCTCGAAACCTGTTTTTTTTTTTTTTTTTTTATTTTTCGAGACAGGGTTTCTCCGTAGCTTTGTTTCCTGTCCTGGAACTATCTCTTGTAGACCAGGCTGGCCTCGAACTCACAGAGATCCGCCTGCCTCTGCCTCCCAAATTCTGGGATTAAAGGCTTGCGCCACCACTGCCCCGAGTCTCGAAATCTTTGGCATGGAATGGGGGGATTAGGATTGAAGATGGTCAGGGGAGAAATCCAGACAGAGAGGGTCAGGCTCTGCCTGGTTTCAGAGAAACCGAAATAAATCGTTATAGTGGGGTAAAATGAAAGGTCCTGATTCTGAAATGCGTTGTCAGAAGATGTTAGGCTTTCTCCCTAGGAATGATAAAGTACCTTCGAAGTGTTTAAACTGGGTGTCCTGACTAGTAGTTGTACTGAATGATAAAATATTCTTAGGGCCCAGAGAGGTGTCTTAAGGGTCGAGTACTGCTGGCTGCTCTTCCAGAGCATCCGAGTTCCGTTTTCACACTTAAACAGGGAGTTACACGTAAACAGGGCGTGGGGGCACACGACTTTAATCCCAGCTTTTGGGGTGTGGAGGTAGGAGGTTCTGTGGCTCAGAGGGAGTTCCCGAAAGTCTCTTAGGGAAAATAGCCAGTATTTGCCTCTGTGTTTGGCTTATTTTCACAATGTTTCTTTCTTTTTCTTTTTTTTTTTTTTTTGGTTTTTCGAGGGGGTTTCTCTGTGGTTTTGGAGCTTGTCCTGGAACTAGCTCTTGTAGACCAGGCTGGTCTCGAACTCACAGAGATCCGCCTGCCTCTGCCTCCTGAGTGCTGGGATTAAAGGCGTGCACCACCACCGCCCAGCCACAATGTTTCATTACTCTTAGTCAACAGGATCTACTCACAGGCCTGTCTGTCGCCTGTAGTCCATGCAGCTAAGGGTAGTTAAGAATATGGCCAATACAAATGGTAAACTTACTTAAAACATGATGAGGGTATTTTGTTTTTTCTTTAAAATTTTTTTTTATATGCTCCTCAAGTGTAGATCACAGTGTTGCGTTCCAGTGTTAATGTTCCTTACAGTTGTCTTAACGGCTTGCATCCGTTGGTCCTCTGAACATCGTAGCTCAGTGAGTGGCTGTTGGGCTCACAGACCACTACAGTGCTTTCTGATCTTGGTGTTCCCCGCCCTTGACTCAGCATTTGAGCCACTGTACCCTTGCTCACAGGAACCTGCTGCCGTCTCATTCAGTACCTCAAGTCTCTTCAGTGTCCCCACACTCCTCGCCACGTCTAACCCATAGCGAGGCATACACATCTTCATTGTTCTTAGCTCCACCAACTCCTTCAACCCGTGCGGGCCTGCTCACAGTGGCTCCTCCTGTTTGGAATGCCTCCCTCATACACCCGCCATGCCAGGCATACCCCTCCCCTCCCCCCGTTATAGTAGTTTCCTCTTCTGCATACTCTTCTCCCGACACCTACCCAGTGTCTCCCTGTCAGCTGAGGGCATCAAAAGTCAGGAGGCTCGTCCACTTCAGTAAGTACTCAAGATCAGCAAATTATCAATCAATAATTACTTGCCCCCAAGCTTGAATAACTTCTCTTACCATGCTATATAATATGAAGGAAAAAAATATGCTAGAAATGATTAACTCAAATAAAAAGGGGCTCCTGTCTAGAGGGCTGTAGAGGAAATATAAGTTAGAAAGTTGGATATTAAATAGCCAGCTAAAAGGAAATGACATTTTCATTTAATTCAGCACATTAAAATATTACTCTAATAAGTACTGTTCAGGTAAATCTTCATTAGTTATGAAGTTGTAGTTTACAAAACTCAATGAGAATGCATACTAAATCAGTATAAATGAGTGCAAGTCAATTTCTGAGTCTCCAGTGTCATTTTGGGCCT